GCGAGTGTGCGACAACTAAGAAGTCAGCGAGCGGAAGACTTATTGTGTGCTTTCCAGACATAGTGATTGCTGTAGTACAGTTGTACTCGGAGTGTGTATTTCAGGGAGACTTGTATAGCTCCCGCGTTAGTAGTACGTGAAGAAAAGTGAAGATCGTGTTAAGTGACTTTGTTGTAGGGTTTGTAAAGTGTGGAAACCCGTAATATTGTGATCATTAATTATAGCCGTTATTTGTAGATTGTTAAATAAACCCAATTAACCATCTCTACGGCGTCTTCGGTAACGTAAACACGTTACAATATATATATAATTTATTTGTATTTTCATTAGTGCTGCATATGCATTGTGATTTGAACGCTGACAATGTACGAGCACATCACTCAATTTCTTTAACTGAATTATATTTTATTGGCATTCAAAGGCCCTACCAAAAAATAGGGAAAAAAATATTGATATAAAATTGCAAATTTGTCTAATATTCATAACCATTTAAATTTGAAAAATTATATCGAACAGTTGGTTGCATGTTACAAAATAAGGTGTTTGTTACGTATAAGCAACACTAACACAACCAAATCAATTTATTTTTCCCACTTTTATTCTGTAAATTTGGTTTGAAATTCTTCTGAAGCAATTCATCTGAGATGAAAGCCGTATTTACATTAAGAAAGGAAATTGTTGAAACCTTGGTGAATGTGCAACATCGAAATTCTTGTAGAGGTCTATTTAAGAGATTAAAGATCTTATCTCTTCCATGTTAATAGTCCAGTACTGTGCTTCATTATAAATAACGAATGGCATTGTCAGATCCTTTAGTCTATACGCAGCGTTAATGCAAGGATCAAACTGAATATTCAAGACCGTAGCGGTCGGTTCAAGACTTTAGAAATCTTATAATACCTATGTGAATATTCCATTAATGGGCTTCGATATAAATACTCAAGAGCATTATTGGGCTATTTCTGCTGTACGTAGTGCTAACAAAAGGAACACGCTCTATCTTGTAAGACCAATCTCAGCCGTACCACCACCGCCACTAAATAACGTCCTTCGTGCGTACGCTATTAGAGCAGAGGACAGTTGCAGTACGTGTGTTCGAAATTTTTCGTTCATCTATCCCGATATCTCCTAGGAAGACTTCGTTGAAACACTATAGAGAAAATATGTTTTAATCTATTTTGGTTTCTGTATTTTTTCATGCAAATGGTGAACACAATTTACAATACATGCCAGATAAGGAGTAATCCGATATATAGACATGTCTGATAACTGATCTGTGGTGTGTTCTATTTAACAGGTTCCGGTTCCAGATGAAATATCCCCAACAATTACTCAGCAGAATTTCCTTACTGCACTAACACGGCATCATGAGAAAGGTAATTAAAGTACTGAGATAACACTGCTGGAACAGTAAATTTTTAAAATTAAATACATTGAATTCCGAAGTGACTTAATTGCACACATTCTTGCGCTATTTATTAAATATTTGATATGTCACGAACCGCATGACAAACACCGCAGGAATATGTTACTCTAAGGGTTGAGTGCTTGTTTGCTTGCAAGGAGGGTCAGGGCACAGGCTGCTATGTTATCTCTTATAAGTCTCCTTTTCACAAATGTAAGAAAATTAGCCAAATAAAGATGAACTCGTAGAATAATTCCACTTCCTCACATGGCAACTTCTCTGAACTGTCAACATAATATTCACGGTGCCAATCAACACGACTCAGAAGTCTCCACCCAAAATTCTATTGCTTTTAGTCTCCCGCGGTTTCAACTGGTTCGCGAGTACACACACACACACACACAACACACACACACATAAAATTACTGAGTGCTATTCTAGTCAGATATATAGAACATAGTCTACTGTACTGAGCCTAGACTGACAGAGGCCTTGTATATATTATACATACCAGATATTAAGATTCAACTGAAGAGAAAAAAGTGTACTACATAGTTACAATGGAATGATACTGTCGACTATGACTGACAAATGACAGACACGACCTCTTGTCAGAGAGGGCGCCCCACATGGAAAGGATAGTAACTTTCACTTAAAAAGGAACATCTGTTTATGAGCCTCGTCCGGGGCTCGAAACCAAGACAGACAGACAGACTGACTGACGGTCAGTCGCAACATAACTTTGACTTTGACTTGACTAGTCAGATATGTATTCACCAGTGCATAATGAACATTTTCATATTGGTGTAGTAATGCAATTCTTTCATAAAGGAAATAATATTGTAGCCAATATACCATACTGACAACCCAACGAAAGGTTTAGTGTTTATGTATGGGTGCTATTAAATTACCATCACTAATCTCATTCAGATCATCACAGGTATTTCCTGCACTACAATTATTACGCAATATAGCTTACTATTCCTTCTGAATACGAAAATCTACCGTGATATAAGTATTCAACGAATTTTAATATGTGTATGCATATTGAATGGGACACGCGGTTTAGGCACTCTGGTACAAGCATGAATATCATGCTTTCGGTTCCAGATGAAGTCATTTGATTCTTAGATTCACCTAATTCTTCCAACAGCATTATGACCCTGGGGTCAACACAGCCTCTAGCAGAAATATATATCCGGAATTAACTTGGCGAATAAAGGGCGGCCGGTGTATGATCTGACAACTTTATCGCCATCTGACAACCGATTGTTTGGAAAATGTGGAAGCCTCGACGTCAGACAACTCTATGAGCCTCGACGGTCTCTTACAGGGATAGTTTTGTCTTCTTAAAATTTATGTAGAGAATGAACGAAAGAATTCGTAAAGGCTGAGCCTTGCACTGCGACCTTCAATGAGCTATTGTGCTTCCCCTTCCTTGATTAAACCTTTATCAATCCTGCACTTAGAAAGAAATGTAGGACTTCATTTATTAGAGCGTCATAGAAGTGACTTGGATCCATAAAAGATAATACCAAGTGATGAAATCTTAAACAAGCTACTGTCTCAGAATCACATAGGATGTGTGTGTGGCTGATTTATTTTTTTCCAGGCACCATTCACAAGGGAGGTCATCTGTCAGTCATTCTTTAAAAAGATGTCCTTTAAGGTAACAGTGTCCTGTAAATAGCCTTATCAGCCATCTTATTTGGTCTCTGCTAAATGTTAAAATTTCCTTCGTTCTTCTGTCAGAGGGTCTATCTATAGGAGCCTTTGCTTGTTTCAATCCAGTTATGGATTCCCAATCTTTTTGTGATTTCTGTTCGTGCAGCCCCTGACATCATTTTTGGCTACTCCGATTGAGATGCCACAGGCTGGTTCAGGTCCTGTGAACGGATGTTTAGAATCTGTCCTTGCTAACTTATCTGCCGTTTCGTTACCAAGAATACTCTCATGACCTGGCACACACATCAGTTGAACCCACTTAATTTCGGCAAGTTTTATGAGGGATTGGTGGTAGTCCCAGAGCAGTTTTGTGGTGATCAGTATTTGCCAATTGCTTTAGTTGCAGCTTGACTGATAGAATATAGAAGTTTCTATTTTTATATTTCCTATCTATATTTGTCATACTGCTATTACACGCACCAGTTGCGTTAAGGACCTAGGTGTTTTCTTTGACTCTAAATTATATTTTCACAATCATGTTGATTTTTTATATTCCGAATGTATAAAGCTGCTAGGTCTTATACGCTCAATAACTTTTAGATTTTCTTCTCTTGACTGTTTATATGTGCTGTATCTTACACTAGTCAGGTCCAAGTTGGAATATGCCTCGGTAGCTTGGAATTCTATCACGTCTACTGACTCCGCAAAACTTGAGCGCATCCAGAAAAAGTTTGCATCTGTCTGTTTCTACCGCTACTTCCCACATAGCTCCTATAGTTATACATCTGCCTTAGAGAGACTAAGATTGCACCCTCTAAGTATGCGTAGACATCTTCTTGATGCACTCTTCTTCATTCAGGTTTATCGTGGCCTTAAATCCTGCTCCTCCCTTCTGGATAATGCTAGTCTTCGTGTTCCTACTTGCCATGTTCGAGACTTCTCTACTTTTAGCGTTCGTCCCTCAAAAAGACACTGTCCCTCTTCTAGGTGCGCCCTTGCTACCAACGTGGTGGGTAAAGATCTCGACATATTTGCAGACGGAGCGGTTTCTCTGAATCATATTTTACAAGCATGTACCAAACCTTTTACGGTGTTACTTGATTAGTGTTTTCATTCACTACAAATATGTGTTACCTCGGCTAGCTTTAATTATTCTTATGTAATTGGTTTTAATTTATTGACTGGTTATTAATTTTATTAATTTTATGCTATCACTCACTGGTGTCTTATCTTAGTATTTAGTTACTAACAGTATTAGCAACATTCGTAATATTTCATAAATGTATGTATATATTTCAGTCTTCTTTAGATCTATGTTCACAGATTTATTTGTCGTATTTGTATTTTGTTTTAATTATTTTGTACCTTATATACTCGTGCTAACTTTGTAATTGGCCGCTGGGCTGTTAAGTTATTGCACGTAAATAAACATGAATTGAATTGAATTGAATTGAATATATTCCTAACAGCGCACATCTTAATGGCATACATTTCTGCCCGGAATACCCTTGTGTAATGCCAAAGGTTAAAATTAAGTTTTCCACTTGTACCATGGCAACACACCCCGTTCTCCAGTGTCTTTATTTGTCATGGAGCCATCTGTATACCAGATTAATCTCCCCTCTGTCAGGTTGGAACCCCTTTTCAGTCACGTCTACCAGGGAATCTGATCATGAAAGTTTTATCATAGACAGTATCTCGGTATAACTTTCTCAGACCACATCTTTAGGATGGGTTCTTATTCATGATCTGAATTATGTGTGCATGTAGAAAACCTTCAGATTTTGGGTTCCATTGAGCATTCCAACGTAGTCTGAAATTTCCCTCTTTGACCTTCACTTTCACCTGCAGGCACAGAGGAAGGAGTCCAAGGAAGACTTTAGTTGTAGATGTTGGAGCCCTTCTCATTGTTTCTGTAATTCTCAAGAAGACTACCTTTTACAATTTTTGCTTAATTCTGTTTGGCTTATTTTAATTTTATCTCTGGGTCACCATAGAATGGCAACATAGGTTACTATGGGCCTTACAACCACAGCGTATGTCCAATATACATATCACATTTGGCTTCAGAACCGAAGTGCTGTTAGAATTCCATCTGTTCCCTCAGATTTAAATGGTCAGGAGGTGAGTAGCGACCATCTAATTTTTGATTGACTAATCACAAATTTGGCCAGGTTCCAGTCTCTCCTCTTCCTTATGCATCCGCATATTGCCAGGCTTTGCTGACCCTCTTCATCATCTGAAAACTCAATCAGTTTGGAATCAGGAAATCTAACTCTGAATATCTCGTTCAGGGTTTCTTCCCAGTTTGAGTGTATTGACTGTCAGATAGCTCAGTGTGCTAAGCTATTTGCTCGCCTGATTTGCCATGATCTTCATGAGTCTGGCAGAACCTCTTCCACGAGAATCTTCGGCTTCCCTTATTTGTTTGTTGTAATAGGTGAGGGCTTCCTTATGGGTGTCCTACTGTTTGTTGTAATAGGTGAGGCTTCCTTATAGGTGTCCCACTATTTGTTGTAATAGGTGAGGGCTTCCTTATAGGTGTCCCACTGGCCTGTTTCTTTCGTTGTTAACTAGCTTTCTACTTTTGGATCTCAGCCCACTCAGAATTTTCTTCCGCCAAGATGCCAGTTTTGGTGAGCAAGTGGTCTTGGCTGAACAATCATCACAATAGGACAACTGGTTAACCGACCGATCTGTGTCCCTTAGGGTTCAATTACTTCGCAAAAGGGTCTCCAGATTTATTTTGCGGTCGTTCCTGTATGACTCCTATTTAATTCTCCTAGAATCCCTGAAGGTAAATTGTTTTATTGTTATGTTCCCTATATCAAGGCTTATGTACCTGTGGTCAGATAAAGATGGTTCACTAGACACATGCCAATTTCTTACCAGGTTGCCTATTTTATTTGTTCTTAGTGTCAAGTCAATAATCTCTTTCCTATTGCAGACAACAAAGGAAGGTTTGTTACCATGATTGAGAATATGAGGGTTGGATCTCACCTGAAATTCAACGGAGCGTCCTCCTCTTGTATTGGTATCAGTACTCCCCCCACATTATATGATGTGTGTTGCTTTTTCTTGCAGCGACATCCCTGACTTTCTTTGTTGGAGGAGGTTCATTTGAATTCCAATGAATTGATTGAACTTCTTATTTCGCCTCAGTATATACAAGGTTCCTGAATAAGTGCTACAGCTTCCGTTCTCTCAGCACTCAGCATAAGTTTTCCGAAGCTACTTTCAAAAAGTGTAGGTTACTCTGAAAGTATTTTATAGGGCTTGTGCTTGTGTGTATGTTTCCAGTTTGTG